TTAAAGCTAATATAGTTAAGATGCATAAAAGAGAAAAATGTAAGATATAATCCTTGCTTCAAGAATCACCTAGTAGGATTTGTTTGACTTCTAATTTGTGGACTTCTGTTGTTACTGATGGGTATATGTATCTTACTGCTCATTTTGTTGACAAAAATTGGATTCTATAGAAAAGAATCTTGAATTTTTTCTTTATGTCACCTTCACACAATGGTGTTGCTTTGAGTGAAAAGATTTATGCATTGTTAGTTGAATGGGGAATTGAAAGTAAATTGTTTTCAATAACATTGGATAATGCTTCTGCAAATAATGCTTTTGTTAATTTGTTGAAAGTGCAATTGAATATGAGAAAGCAACTTTTAGGAGGAGGCTCTTTTTTCATATAAGATGTTGTGCTCATATACTTAATTTGATTGTGTAAGATGGTTTGAAAGAAGTTGATAGTGCGATCCAAAAAGTGAGGGAAAGTATTAAGTATGTGAAAGGTTCTCAAGGGAGAAAGCAAAAGTTTTTAAAGTGTGAGCCTAGTGAATTTGAATGCAAAAATAGGCTTAAAACAAGATGTTCCAACTAGGTGAAACTCCACGTTTCTCATGCTTGAAAGTACACTTTATTTTTGCTTGACCTTTTCTCATTTGGAAATTAATGATTCAAATTTTAAGCATTCTCCATCTAGAGATGAGTGGGATAGAATTGAGAAACTTAACAAGTTCTTAAGTGTATTTTATGAGATTACTTGTGTGTTTTCTAGAACAAAGTATCCTAAAGCCGACTTGTACTTTAGTTCGATATTCATGGCACTCATGACCTGGGAAGAACATATGAGTGGAGATGATGTGTATTTGAAAAAAATTATGCTTATCTCAATATGTTTGTTAAGTTTGATGACGTATTGGTTTAAGATTTAGTTTGATCTAGTTATAGCTGTGATATTTGATCCTTGGTACAAGATTCAATTTATTCCACAAAGCTTTATGGGAGTAATTCAGCTAAATTTAAAAAGGTTAAAAATCATTTATTTACTCTTTATGATGAATATGCTGTCAAGGTTCTTAATACTCCATCTTCTTTAAATGACACCCCTTTTGATGGGAAAAGGGTGCTAAAAGGAAAAAACGAGTTCTTGAAGGTAATTTTTTTTAATTTTTGGAGTATTATTTGTTATTAAATTTAATTTTCCTTTGTTGTATTTTGTTTTAATGTTTTTTAAGTGTTTTGTTTTTATTAATTAGGAGTTTGACAATTTTCAATGTGAGTTTGGGACTGTCAAGAACATATCTCAACTAGAGTAATATTTGGATGAACAAAGGATTGAAACGACAATTGAATTGGATATTTTACAATTTTTGAAGACGAATCAGTTTTGTTAGCCTGAGATTCCTATCATGGCTTGAGATATCTTGGCCATTCCTGTATTGATAGTGGCTTCCGAGTCTGCTTTTAATGTTAGCAGTAAAGTTCTTGATCAATATGGAAGCTAACTTAAAATAGATGTTGTGGAGGCAATGTTAATTATGTTGTAAGGATTGGCTATTTGGGGAAATTGGTGATACATTCTTTCTTTATTTTTGATTATGTTTTTTGTGTTTAAATGCATGATTAGAGTAAGTTTGATTTATTTAATTATTTTTAATAAATATTTTTTATATTAAAGCGTGTGTAGAAACAGATATGAACAATCTTACCGTGAATGTCACAAATTTAGAAATTAATAAGGAAGAAATGTCATAAGTCGAATGCTCTAAAACTGTTGATGTTGATTAATCATCAATGAAAGGTAATGCTTTGAACTAAATTTGACATTTTATTTAACTTTTTCTATATTGATTTAATGTTATTACTATATTGTTTCCATTTTATTGTTAGGTTTTGTGATGCCAGAATGATGTGACATTGGCAAATCAATTTTCGATTTTGATTTGTTTATGGTTGATGATGTGGTTAATGATATGCATTTAATTACGATTGAAAATTATGAATGATTTTTGATATTATTAGTGTTTGAAGGTTAGATGTTAATGATGTGTTTTATCATATTATATGATAATGAATTTTATGTATGTTATTTATATTAAATTTTATTATATTTGATATTATTATTCTTGTTTTGTTATAATTATTTTTATAATTATAGATTTTAAATTTAAATAATAAAATTATATTTAATTGTAAATATTTTTATTTAATAGTGTTAAACGTGTTAATCGTATTATTAATCGTGTCGTGTTGTATTACATGGTTATTAAATCTATACGTGTACGTGTTTTAAATTTAAGACACGAATATTAAACATGTCATATTCGTGTTTAACCTTAACGTATTTCGTGTCTAATTATATCTGAGACATTTAAGACACAAAAACATGAATTACCAGATTTAAAGTCATCCAAACTAAGGTGTATGTGAGGATGAGAGCTTGTTTATCCTTGTTCCTCGATTTTGCCAAAGCACCCTTCTCAACCTTGTGTTGGATCATAGTCTTTATCTATAATCTCTCACGTATCTGGGATAGTGGTTTTGATACCACTTTGTTGGAGAAAGAGGAAGATCTTTTGAAATTCTTCTTCTCACTTGAATTCCCATTGCCACGTACAATAAGTGACTCTTGACATTTAATTACATATACCACAAGTAATAAGACATACATGAAGTCAAAATACATGAATAAATATATGCAATACACCTATATAATGAATTTAGACACATAAAAAAAATTAAATTATTCCAACAGAGAGTAGTCTCCCTTATCCTTATGGAGACATCTTGGGCGAGCGAAGCCGAGGATGAGAAAACATGCATCTACGGAAGGCTTAAAACGATGACAAGATGATACGATTCCTTCCTACCTTGTGTGATCATCACTTTTGAGTCTTCGGTATGTCAAAAAGCAAAGGAATTAGTAACAGCAGCACACCTTGCGCATCAAACGACATGAAAGAAATTAGATCAACTCTGGATAGATGCTTACAAAGCAGAGGTCAAGATGCCCACATGTTCCCCGCTAGTGTTTTCTTATCACCATCTGCGTTGTTCGTGCATGTTTTTTCTAAGTCAATAGGCAAAGCTCTCTCAGAGGGAAAGACTGTCGGCCCAATGCCCACCCCATTAGCTTTCTCCCCATTGATTACGTGTAGTAGGATTGGGGTTTTACCAATTTACAGCCTGTAAAACAAGTCCGAATTGATTCATCACAACCAATTCCGTAGTGATCAAAGCTCGGAAAGGTTATGTTCCCTCCCTTTTTCGTTTTTCAACTTTTGGGCTATTAGCTATTCCCAGCTCCTCTCGCTTCAGCTCTTTCCATTGCAATCAAAGAATAAAATAAAGCAACACATAGCATATGAATGCAGCAAGCCAAATGGTCTCCCTTTATGGTGTCCCTATCATAACATAAGCATTACTCGTGGTTGAATGGACGAGGGAGCAACTTGTATCATGCTACTTGTCAAAGGCACGCATAGAGTGATTTTCCATCCAGACCGGCATTGGTGGAGACGCAGAGATTGAGATAGACAGACGAGTCTCACATCGGGAACTCTTGCGTAATTTAAGCATCACCGACCACTGATCACCTCTCCTGTACGATCATCTACATGGCTAGGATGTTGGATTCTTGTACTGCTTCAGAATTATCCCAAAATGAGAAATGCGGAGATGATACAATGGTGCATGGACTCGAGTCTTTGAAGAAAGATGATCCTTGACGATCAAATCATCAGTAAAATATAGTGCCAATGTAATTACTCCTGATAATCATTTTACGTTTCTTTGCCTTTCCAAACTCAAGTATGTAGACTGGGAAAAGGGGAACCATGCAGATCAACTCCCGTTCACGAGCACAGATAAACATCTTCAAGGAACCAAGAGCGAATAAGCTTAAGCTAGCCCCAGACTAGTGGTTGTAGGAAGTAGCTTCCATGTACGGGCAAACAAAGCATTCGAATGGAAAAGAAATGAGAATAACTGATTAAAACAGGAATGCAAACAGGGACAACACGATAGCGTTCGCAACCAAACGAGAGTAACTTGATGCGCCTGATTCTAGTTAATGGCTATACACACAAAAGCGTCAATACAACTCCACATGATAAAGAGTTAATATCATAAATGGCTGAAATAAAAATACATGTGGACATGGTCAAATATAATTAAGCTAAAACAGCGCAATATGCTGTCCAAAAACATTTGTGGATCCCGCTCTGCTCACCAAACTGATTGCATTACCCACAAATCATCCAAACAGCACTAATCATGAACATGGCTTGCATATTTAGTCTGTACAAAGGCTTGTGTGGTTATGTGTTGTCTCAATGTATTGCAAGCAAAGCAAAAGGTATTAGATCAAAATTCAATTCTAATTGTCCATTTCAAGTTTCCACAAACAAAGTTTCAACCTGTTCCACTAAAGTTTCAATGGAGAAAGAATCAGCATATGTCGTAACTTATTCAGAGGGACCCTAGATGGGTATCCCTTTTGATGTTTCACACTAGTAAATCAACAAGAACCTCAGATACAATCTGGCTCAACAACAAACCCAAATAATGGAAGATAAGGAAAAAAAAAACCAAAGCATACCTGACAAGAACCCACAACTTTTGCCAGAGCCATTACAGAACATAAATTCTAGGGAGAAAAAAAAAATAGTCTATAACCTTATGTATCGCCGCCTCACATGAGATGCATGATACATTTCTGACTATATCCCGCAATCTGATTTTACATCTCACTCAAGTACCCAAAAAAAAGCCCTAAAAAGATAAATCAAAATTCAAGCCTTAACACAAAATCCCTTGTAATCTCTATCTCTAAATTTAATTCTCCAAAACAGGCACACTCCAGTTAGCTCTAGATAACCAACTTTCATTTAACTGAAAGATATAAACGAGGGTAACGTGCAGAATTCACAGATCACCTGCTTCACAAGATTATCTTCACCTACAGTATTGTGATAACCAAAATAATCTTCTAGGTAGCAATTCCTGAACCAAGAGAAAACCAAATTGTGTAAATGTAAAGGAACAAACTCAAGAAGTACTGATTATAACAATCTTTTAGAAAGTACATTAAAAAACATGTTTTGGGAAAAATCTAAAAGAGCATTTGGTTTCTTCAAAGGAACAAGATAGTATTAGAGCACTTACACGCGGCATCAGAAATTTCTAACTTCAATTAGTAAAAAAAAAAGAACAAAAGTTGCCAGTTGCCAGTTGCTGAAGCATAATTGTTGAAATAATACACATATAAAAGACCATCAAAAAATTTATTGCAACAGCAGGCAATCAAATCTATGACTGTAAGGCAGAAAAGAGCAGTCGAGAAACTCTGCACGTCAGACAATAACTCAATAATTCAAGAGTCTGAGTCCATAACCTTTTTCCGTAGCCAACTAGTGGATTCTATTAGAATTCATTCTATCGTGTGCTCTAAATACCATACTTGCCTCAGGCCATGACACCCTTTTAACATACATAGAAGAATTATCGCTTGTCAAAAGAAAATCCAATTCTAAAAGAACTTTAGAATTGCCAATCAGAACTACTAGATAGGCCACTCATATGATATCTACTTGATTCAATCCCTCTACAAGATTCTTGAGTAGATCCTTTAATAGAAGACTATGTAAAGAAAGTCTCCTTTCCCTTTCTTTCCAAGACGATTTCTTTGCTTTTTCCTTCCTTTTCTTTTAACTTCTTTAGAATCCAATGGTTGGACTGGATCATAGGAGTGAAGTCTTTCTGAATTCATAAATCCCCCAACCATTGCTGAAGTCTATAATTTAAACTTAGGCCCTTCATATAATAGCTACAGGACTTGATCTCGCAACCCCTAGGAACTTTGAACACTGCACCTCCAGACACTTGACTAAGACATGCCTCTTCCACCTTCTACCTTTCGAAAAGAAAAACTTGCATGCTGGTATCATTGAGGTGCAACCTACGCATATCTATGTGTGAATACATACATACATACATATATATATATATATATAGAGAGAGAGAGAGAGAGAGATTTCAGGTATTTTTGTATGACTGCATGTTTTACAACAGTTGGGTACAAAATAATGCTTTTATGGAAACAAAATATAACGCAGTTAGTTCTCTTATTAGTTACTAGAAAGAAAGAGAGAGTTCAAATAGGTGCATGCTCTACAACGGATGGATATAAACTAACACTTCTATGAAAATGAAAATAATGCAGTTGGTTCTCTTATTAGTTACAATCATGTTTTCATGACCCTAAATTAACTAAAAAGAGGAAGTAAGAAGTGACAAAAGAGCCTCCATAAGCAAATTATGGTGCCTCACATCTACCAAAAAATGAGGACAAGATTCAAGTGGCATGTCAAGAAAACAGAATGATACCCCTCTGTCAATATCAAGAGAAACACAGTTAAAGTTCAACTCCATGTCATAAGAGAAACACAGAGCTAAACCAAGCCCATGCTAAATCTGAATGTGCAAGGCACAAATTCAACTCATTAGTCTTTGCCATTCAATTCTCAGGCATCCCCCTTTTCTAAGCACTCTGTTCATTTTTATGCTTAGGAACCTGATCACACCACAACCAAGTGGAAATATTGTAGAGTAGACATGAGACCATTAAGCCATTTAACATGGAAGGACCAATGAAGTTGAAGGGAAAAACAGAAGATGGGAGAGCAAAAGCAATTGCTTCACTTTGCCTAGCCCAAAAAAAGGAACAAAAAACCAAAAGACCAAAAAGCAATCCACAGAAGGTGGAGGAAAAAGAAATACATCCTTATAAGACACAGTTATATTCTCTTCATAAAAAATGATCTAAGACTTTGTTTCCGTCCCAACGAAAAATTTTTCAACAAACATTACTGAAAAAGGACTTGAATGGAGAAGTGCTAAGAAGCATGGGAAAAGTTCTGAGAAGAAAAGTAACATTCCAAGATAATCACATTAAGGTAATATTAAAGATAAGATTTTATAGGTGCCATGAAAAATGACACTGACAAAAACTTAGAACTCTTGCAATCAGTTGTCATGGAATCACAGGTGTGTGTCTGTGTGTATAGAAAAATGAGAATGTTACACATTTCTTTCAAGTTGTTTAGGAAAAATTATATTTTCAATAATTCTTTGACTATTCATAGCATGCAAACACTAAATCACAATGGAATATCTGTCCAAAATCACAAATTCACACATGCACAATAGCTGTGTGCCATGTCAAAGATTTTAGAAGTTTCCTCTGAAACCATCTATTTGCATGACTTCCACTTGGAATTGGTCATACAGGAACTTAAAAGGTAAGTTACACAGAGCTCCAACTTGGTATGTCTAGTGAAGAGCATTGTTCAAATTAGAATTGCGCTTTAAACTTTAAAAAAGCTAAAGAGATATCAAGGAATTAAAGATTGATAACAATTCAACCAACGGTAGGCCTAGAAGATTAGCTGAAAAGATGAGAATGATGTGGCACAAGCTAGAGGTAAGGAGAGGAAAACTGAAGAGAAGGGAATGAAATACAAAAATATAGAGAGAGAAAAAGGCAGAAAATTGGAGGAAAAAGAGAAGCAGAGGGAAGGACAAGTAGAGAAAAGGAATCTAATTCCAACAACTGAATATCTCCATAATCCATCATCAAAACTCTTTAGAAAATTAAAAACTTACATATTTATACCTTACAACCTATAAATCCTAACATAATATGATATAAGAAATATAACCCTAAAGGTGCTACTAATTTCAGGAAACCAATTAGTGCATTTGAAAACTTCCAATGCGAGCTTAAACATAGGAATCATTCAAGCAGCCAACATAGCTAATTCAAATTGTGCAAGGACAAACATGTTAACAATAGAAGGAGCAATAATAAGATAGATTAAAAATGTTTTCTTTGTCTGTGCTATTGTTACTCTATGATAAGTATCTTTGCACAAGACAACTATTATTTTGATACAACAGTTTGAACATTAATATCATAACTTTGAAAATTGTAGTAGCCTTAATTATTCAACAAAAACTTCCATTATCTCTTTTTCTCTAGCCCCATCTTTGAAGATTTAAAGATTTATTAAAAGTTACCAAATTATATAACCAATTTCGGAGATGTTAAGAAACGTGTCAAATGTAAATGCTATACACATTACAAATAAACAACAACATTCAATTAATAAATGAATCATAGAGTCATTATGTTCAAAAGATGTCTATCGATCTTGACTGACATTGTTCTTCTATAGCTAGAAAGTAAAGCAAGCAGCTGTTAAGAAATGAAAGATCATATTACTACAAGGTATGTGTTGCCAAATTTAAGACTTGGACCCAAAGAAAGATAGCTAGCAGAATCCTAACTTAAAAGTTTCTAAGGTTCTATTTAGTTATGCTTCTACAACATCTAAACAAGATTTTGCTACTAACCTCCTATGAACATCAATAATAATTCTTTAAAGTTAACAGGAAATTTCCTCAAGCTGAAAATCTTTTACAAAAAAATTTTAGGATGCTAGTAACAAGTCTTACCTCTATTTGATTGTCTCTTATTAACGCTATAACCACCAACATAACCAGGAGAACTTTTACCAGAAACATCAGAATTGGCACTACCGAGTCCATAGCCAAAGGAACCAGAACCATCTCGCTCAGATGTTGATGTTCGCCAAGTGGTGTCACCATAAACTGAAGCACCACCATAAAGGTCTGCAAAGGCTCCATCATAACCACCATTTGGTGTTGTGTATGATGATGTTGGTGCCACATTTGTCCCACTGTTTCTTCCATACCCTGCTGTTCCCAACCCAAAGCTGCTATCACCACTTCCATAGCCAAAATTAACACTACTGCTAGGAACATTATTTCCTCCACCTTGCCCGGAAATTGCAGAAGAAGCCCAATTAATTCCACTGTTTCCAAAGGCACTTCCTCCAATACTCCCACTTCCAGATCCCATATATGCACTGGAACTACCAGCATTTGTGCTATAATTAAGCCCCCCATTTCCCCAAAGATTCCGGGTCACAGAGCTGAAAAAGGAAGAATTACCTCCACTACTTGCATCATACCCAATAGGACTACCAAATCTATTTGTATTACCAATATAGTAAGGGCCCAACCCCCGTCCATAGCTGATATTACTACTAAAATTTGCAGTATTTGCAAAACTTGGGTTCAACCCTGGCTCGAAGTTCACGCCCATTCCATAACCAGAACCAAAAGGAGGAAACCCACTTCGACCACCAGCAATAGGGCTGAACCTACCATCCATCCTAAGTCCATAGCCTCCAACACTGCTTGGAGTATATCCCTGAGTGTAACCATTAAGAAAGCTGTTGACCCTATTCAGACCATAGTTATATCCACCAAGTGGGCTACGACTAGGACCAGGCGATAACTCTTTGGGAACTGCTCGTTTGACCTCAACCATTTTACCGTTCAGTTCATGGAAATTTTTTAGTAACACTTTGTCCACTGCCTCTTCTGAATCATAAGTGATGAAACCAAAGCCCCTAGGCCTTTGGGTGTTGTGATCATACATCACCACAACATCTGTGATGTTCCCAAACTGATCAAAATACTTCTTAAAGTCACTCTCTGTGACTGTAGATGCTAAACCTCCTACAAAAATCTTTCGTGTGCGGCCTGGACCAGGCGAACCATGGATGCTACTAGTGCTTCTACCCATAATGTTCTGGTCATCCCTAGGAACTGCCTTCTTTGCCTCAACCTGAGGACAAGTAACTCAATAGTGAAAACAAAACTTAAGCAGCACAAACTCCTTCAGCTCAATATAAGTAATTTCACTAAATGAATAAAATTACAAACAAAACCAATATCATTGCAACGAAAAAGATACATAGGAGCAAGCATGATTACTCTTGGATCAAATTTGAATTAGTTGGAGACAACCAGAATAACACAAATTCCTGCAATTACAATATCGGGTTCATAACTCCAATAAGGAATTGAATTTTCATCCTTTGCTACAATAACCTAATATCAACAATGATAGTACATTGCACAACATTAATCTAAAAAAGTGCACTTAAAATCAACAGCTTACCATCCTGCCATCAATGTTGTGTTTCTCCTTGATGACTCTCTCAGCAACAGCCGGGTCAGAGAAGACAACGAAACCAAAACCACGGGCACGGCCTGTGGTCCTATCCTTCATGATCACTGCCTCTACCACTTCACCAAAACTACTAAAATACTCCTTGAGACGCTCCTCATTGGTGTCCCAAGATATCCCACCAATAAATAGCTTACCATTCTCAGACATCTTTTTCTACATTCCAGAAAAACTAGCTCCATCAATAGAAAGTCCAAATTTTCCACAAATGCAAATCATACACACACTCTTAACATAAAAAGGCCAAATTCATCACTGGATCCAATGCAAGACATCAAATTTCATTGCAACGACAATTATAATAGAACAATCAAAAATTAATACCAAAAGAACCTTCTCAGTGAATCAGATTAATAAGAACATATATAATTGTGTCTTTTATTGACCTTAGCAATCCAATCACAATAATGCAGATACAATTCAATACCTTTTATTTTAACAACAAAACTGTAATCCGATACAAAATGGAAATTTTCTCTCCGATTCAAAATTTAGAAACCAACAGATCCTCCCACGATCAATCAACCGACCGCCCCGGAATTTAACTTCACCTGGAGTTCAGAAATGAAAAGGCAAAAGCAAAAAAGTACCCAGGCAGATGATCAATCAGAAAATTGATGTAGCTATAAAACTTTTATTGAAAATTAAAGCAAAGGATCGAAAACCCAAATCCAGATTCAGCAAAAAAAAATAAAATAAAACCCACCAATCAAAGGAAAGCCAAGTGCCAAATCTTGCGAAAAACTAAGATCTGAGAGGAGGCAAAATAAGAATAAGAACAGAGGAGGTTAATTTCATCCTCTTTCTTCTCTTCTATTTGCCTTGCCCCCCACAAATAATACTTCTTTCTTCTCTCAATTGTGTCCTTCCTTATAAAAATCTCAATTTTTTTTTTTTTACACCCAAAATGCAAATTCAGTTAAGACAAATATTTATATAAATTTGTATCGTATAAATGCAAGAAAAAAAAAGCACTTTGTTTAGATAGAAAAAGAGGAAAGAGAGAAATGTTGTGGAGAGAGAAAGGGAAGATTTTCCAGGGCATGCCGTGAGGAATATATAGAGAGTTGAAGAGAGAGAGAGAGAGTCTCTCAGAAAAATGGAGGAGAGAGCCTGATATTCTTTCTTCTTTTCATTTATTTTTATATATTTTAGGAAATCGGTTTGAAAATTTTTACGTAAAAAAAATCAAAAAGTTTTCTTTTTTATTGCAGTAAAAAAATGCAAAAAAAAAAAAATCTGATAAATTTGGTGCGGAGGAGATTTGCCTTGTCCTCCCTCCTTTTATACTTATTGGGATCATGTTTCTCTACCGCCGCACTTTCACGCGCGTTAATGCTTGTCTCCATGCATGCATGAAATTTTCAGGTCCATGCTACTCTTATTGGACTTTGTTTGGGTCCTTTTTAAATTGAAGCAGGCCGTTCGATTTTCGTTTTCATCAATTGATTAATGACAATGATCTGATTCGGATCGTTGATTATTTCTTTTGTTTTGTTTTAAGGTGCACGAATTATTCAACTCCAGCAGTAGTCTTGTCAGACTTGATCTGAGTTTATTTCTCTTTTTTCTTTTAATTTTGGAATATTTGACTACTTGTTTTTGAAATCAATACTTTGAATTTAAGTTTGGTGCATTTGAGATTGAACATAAAAGTCAAGTAAATTAAATTAGGTAATTACTTTTATTATTTTTGACCAATGAACTATTGTATCTTCCGTTTTTTTTTTTAAATTACTAAAACATATAAATATTAAAAGTGGTTTTGATGCTTCAATGATGAAAAAAGATCTTTGGTTTCAATATATTTTATCTTAAAAATTTAAATTTTTGTTTTGTAAATTTTGACCATTTTATGATTGTTAACCTCAAAAAAAATTATAAAAATTATAAATTATTAATTTGAAATTAAGAGAAAATAGTCTTGTAACAATTATGAGAATAAAATTTGCCATGTTGTCTATAAATGTTAAATATTACTGTTACAATTATTATATTAAGACATGTGTAAAATGTGAAAATATATAAAAATAATTTTATTAATATGTGTGTGAAATTGTGAATCGTGCAACATAACTGGTGTGGGGATGAGTATCGCGACCGAAGACCTAAACTCCAATTTCATT